TGCTGCATCCACTGAGATTTTTCAATGAGCGAAGAGGGGATTGAGTGAGGAGGGCAGCTGCAGGCCCACAGACACTATCACAAACCAGATAAAGCAAATGGGCTTAGACAAGAGAAAAGCAGGACTGAGCACAGCTCTTCAACCAAGTACCCTAAACTTTGTGGGCTTCTTTATCATTGCTGACCCATCACCTGACAAGGTCACCATATTGGTGAGCAAGAAATATTCTAAAATTTGTTGAAACCAATGAGGGTGACCAACCAGAGACTGATATGTGGAACATTCCCACAGTGTTGGGGAGGATGTGAGTCATGCCTTCCTGCATCATTAAAGTAAGACGTGTAGATTTTTAAAAGCACTTATCATAAATGAATTCCTTCATCACCATCTGTTCACTTTTGGTACAGGAAATATTACAAAACTATTCTTGTTATATGGATTTCCAGTTAATAGTTTAAAAAAGGTGTCTCCTTTCATTAAAGATATATGTAAATCAGTCAAAAGAAATGGGTATTTTCCTTTACTTAACTTTACTTACTTGGAATAGTTAAGTCATGATCTTTGTCAGCTGGTCCAATTCCAGGTACTGGGTCTTTCTCAGGGGGTACTAAAAATTCTAGTATGATCCCAATATGTGGTGGTTGACTTTGAAAGTTTTATTTAACTGCCAGATGTGTGAGACGGCACATAGAAAACTCCCCAGTGCAGTTAGTGAAGATGCTGAAGGGTAGCAGCAATATTACAGAGGAAGGCAATAATATCCCCACATTCATTTCTCATTTTAAAAGATCCTTTTGTTTGTACAAAAACCATTTTTGTGATATGTAAGATTGTACCCATATTTTGTGTGCCTGTTTTTAAAATAAATACCCAAATTACACAGACTTGAAAATTTGCCTTCTAGGGGTAAAACTGACGTGTAATTATGTCCTTCTTCTGTGCAAAAAATAAAAACAAAAACAAAAAATACCTGTATATAAATGGCAAATGACAAATGTTCTGCCCTTTAACCATGGATATATCATCCTCAAATCAATGAAATTTTTGAAAAGAAAACAATGATGAGAAAAATAATAGTGGTGAAAGATTTTAAGTAACTACTTCTCTTTATTTTGAAATAAATACTTTGTCTTTTAATCTCTGTTGTTGTCAATGTCGCATTAATAGCCACAATGTTTTAAAATACTAAGAAAACTAAGTTTGCAGAACTGGAAAAAAATTAGTTTTGCGTTAGGGAATCCTCTGCCATGAATTTGTATCAGTGATAAACCTCCTTTTCCTAAACTCATGGAGATTTGTTTTTACTGAGCCTGCAAATGTTAATATCACTTATACAATGTCCAGGAAAAAGGATTTAGAGAGTGTGAATTGTGAGCTCCACATCAGCTAAACAACTCAGAGGCACTCTGCCCCCTGGTGGAATATCCCAGGGTGGGTTTTGAAGAAAGTTGTCAAAGCTTCACTTCTCACACTCTTCCCTAACCTTTGTCTCTAAAACTCTAGGGAGGTGTCCAGGTTGAGGTTTTTGCCCCCTATACTTACATACTCATTGAATCAACAATTTCCTTTTATATAATTTTAAAATTCTTGGCTACCTAATCAGTTATTCACGTCTAAAATAAAAACCATATTTGTCATTATTGGTTATCATGGCTTTATAAGGATTTTAAAAGTTGAAAATGAGGTGCTGAGAAAAGATGTGGATGTGGCCATGCACTTTGAATTTGTGGAAGATATCCATAAATCTCTAGACAAGGAAAAGGGGGAAGAGAATTTAAAAGTGAATAAGACAGTTCTATAGGAAATTAAATATTTGGTTATTTCTTCTTGGCCGTTAGAGACACTGTAAACTATTTCTTGTGCTCCCTTTTGTCCTTTCAGCTGAATGTCCCCAGCCAAGTCAGATAATTTCAAAAGGCTGCAAACCTCAGTCATTTCTAGTTTATCCAAGTTCTTTCCATTCAAGCGAGTTGGTGTTCCCCAGTCCACCCTCTTCCAAAGAACCCTGAATTTCTAGGCTATAGGTGTCTTGCATTCATAAAAGAGGCACTGAGAAATAATGACTAAGAGGAGGTACCATCTCTGAATTTATAAAGAAAAATGTCAGGAATCTTGTTAGGGACTTTGCATGTATAGGCTCTAAGCCTTTGCAACAACTTGCAATTAGATGATATGTTGGAAAGAGAACCATACAGTTTTAACCTACTTCATTCGTAACTAAAATCATATTCCAAAAGCTATCCTTCTGTATACTTTACTGGTCTTCATATAAATCACCCTTGCCCCCAAGTCTACTTCTAACTCAGATCTTTTTTTCTTCATTTTGTATTTTAAGCATCATACAGTACCTTGGAATCTTACTACCTACCTAGAGATTACACATTCCTTCGAAAAATGCTGGTCTGGAAAACACTTGTGACAGAGGACATGACTTACCCTCTTTGCAGGACATGAGAACACATTTCTGTTTAATTCCTTTTAAGTTCTTCCCTTGGACACTAAATCCCCAAGTCACCACGACACAGATAAGTCTGCCCATGGACTCAGTTATTATCAGTCATCCTCTCAAGAAGTTTCAAACTTCCAAATACAATCCAAGAATCCAATAAACTAACCACTATTCAATGATTTGTAGAACGCAAAAAGAACTTTTATTTCATTAGTTTCCAAAATTTCACTTTTTGTTATGCATTTGCTGAAACGTGGAATACCAAAGGCAATTTTCAGTCACAGCAACTCCATTGAATACACTTATTTGACTGAGTGAATTATAGTCCTCTCAGGGTTTCCTGGTTAAAGAAGACAAAACTAAGATAATAGAGAGGAAAAGTGACAAATATTGTTCAGCAGGAAATTTGCTGAACTCAATAAACATTCATTCACGGGTGCAGTGTCCATTTTTTAAAAGGAAACTCTAAAATTCCTAGAAATACAAGACAATATTGGTATCTTTAGATGAGTATACATTCATATATCTGTGTGAAATTTTGTGCAATTAAACATTATGGAAATATGTTATTTGTTACCACAGACAATGAAAATATATTTTCATTTCTATGTAAGTTAAACATTTCCATCTCTCATTTTATGTTCTGCAAAAAAGCCACGTGTCTAGTTTATGAAATAAACTATGCTATAGGCAATAGTAACTGAAAAAGAGCTTAACAGTCTTAGCTGCATACCCCTGGGATGAATAATACACTTTGCATAATCATGTGCAATGCTGGATGATGATTCTAGATCTCATAACTACAAGAGTTTGCAAGCTTTTACTTGATACAGTATGCTCCAAATCCAGTCAATTCAGCCAAATAGTCAAGCAATAATTAAGGTGGGTAATTTACAAAATGGCAAACAACCCCTTTGATTAAATTGACCTTGTTTTGTTAATATGAGGACACAATCATTGCAGGTGCCCTATGAAGAAATCATTTGTAAGTAGCTATTTGTTTCAATTAATTTCCCCCCCTAAGGCTCTTAGAAGTTGACTTAATTACCTCTTAGGCCCCAAGAAAATACAGCCACATAAACATAAGACCAACATATTAATAACACAAAAAAAATTTAAAAAAATACCATGCTCTGTGTACATTCCTCCATGGGAGAAATGTTACAAAAAGTGAACAAATTAACCTGGGGAATCCAGCAAAAGTATAGGATTATCCAATGCCTAAAATTTTTATCTTACTCCAGTGACAGGTATAACAGTTGATTAAAATTTCCTTTTTTACTTAGCTTACATGTGAACTTTTGAATACTACATTTTCCATAGTCATTACCCAAAGCAAAGTTCTGTGCATTAGGCAAGCAGTGTACTTCAGCTCAACATATCTATTGTCTGAGGATCTGGACTGGGGAGCTTCAAGCAGAGAGTGAATCCATTTTAAAGATTACTCACTTCTGCAGATAAATCATATCATCTGCAATTATCCCTCTGAAGAAAGGGGTATGAATCTTTGGCTTATTAAATACTCTGTGTACACATGTTTTTTCCATGCAGTTGATCCTTTAGGAATACGTCTGCTTATTAAGATAATGTATTTTTAAAAATCTTTTAGTGTGTGATTTTACCCTGGAATAGGAAGTCCTCATAATGAACTTGAAATAAGCAAGTCAAAACTTGGGGGGGGAAAGATACATCTAAATTATTTGAAATATTGTATTCTTTGAGATGTCATGTCTGTGACAAATTTCTAAGGTTAAAAGGCTTGCCAGTTTTCTGGTTGGTAAATCTGAGGTTTGGTTCTATATATTGTAAAGAAAATAGGCTCAATTTCAGCCTCTCTAAGCTTTTCAAAATTTCTTGCATTTTATTTTCTAATAATCTTTGTTCCTACCCAAACTTTAATAGCAAGAAAAATGAAACAAGTTTCTTTCTCCTATCCCAATACATACAGATTTTAGGGCTCTTGCTGCATATTGAAGATTTCTGGAGACAAAAACTAGTTCTCCTGGTTACTTTATATGCTCACACACAAAGGAATCACAGATGGGGAGGAGAGTGCAAATGACTATCAGAAAAAAAATGTCTCATGCATTTTAAGATTTTTTTTACAAGTCAAAATATACATCCTCCATTGCCCCCCTCATTCCTTAACTGTATAACAACCATTCCTATTTCATTAGTCTTCTTTACATTTCACCTAATTGGATAAAGAAGAGAGATACTTTTCTTTTCAAGGAACAGTATATAGCTAATACTAATCGGTTTAACCGACTGCATTAATAAGACTTATAGCAGCACTTTGGGCTGAATTGCCCATTATACCCTTCATTTATGGGGATTTGAGTGTGTAAAATGGCAAGCACATGGAAATCAGGAGGAAAAAATAAAGTAATCTGCAGACTTTGGCACTAGCACACAAAATATTTTGAGTTGTGAAAGTTGTAGTTTGACAATCACTAAACAAGAATTTAAAAAATTAGAAATCTGCAGAAAACAATCATAGGTGTTGATTCTCAATATATCACTCCCATCTCCCACTCCCACCCGCCCACCCTATATAGTTTCAGTTATAATAAAAATAGAGATCTTAGCATCAGAATTTTGCTGTTAACTCTTCAAGGTTCTCTGCGCCATCCAAGACACATTTAGGGTTTGAAGCACCAAATCCACAAGTTTCTCCAACCAAGTTTAAATAAACAAAAACTGAAGACTGAAGAATGCCAAAGTAACTGTTCTTAAATTAAGCTGTAACACAATGTTCTCCCCAAAACACAGGGTATTAAGTGTCTAGTTCAAGTACTGCCAGGCTGTTTGTAGATCTGTCTCAGACAGGCTTCAGACAACAACTACAAGTACCACTGGCTTTAGAGGGCATCATCCGTGATACTAAAGCAGGGCAGGGATCACCTATCCATCATCAATTTTTAAGTTGCAAACCCCTTTGTGATTGGCTGCCGCAGTATCTGTGCTGAGCCCAAGGTTTGAGGGGAGGAGGTGAACCTTCTCCTCAGCAGGGAAGCTCTACATTTAGTTTGAACAGTTCTCCTTTCAGAGCTCTCAGGGCTGTCCTGGCTTCTCAGGATCCATTGCCCTTGCCCAGAAGAGAGAGCCTTGTTCGGACCCAGTAACAGCGAAAGAAGATTCCACCTACCTGTGGAAAGACCCAACTTGGTCCCCAAAGGTCGCTTTGGCGACCCCACTGCAATTGGCAAGTCAACTTGCGCACTTAAAACGTATCAGTTTATGGAACGCTTGTTTGAAATCCTCATTGGACATGGTATAGATGATGGGATTGATGAGAGAATTTAGATAGCCTAGCCACGTGAAGAAATCAAAGATGGCCATGTGGAACCAGCAGGCATCCTTGCAGATAGGCATCACCAGGGAGATGATGAAGAAGGGCAGCCAGCACACAATAAATGCTCCCAAAATTATCCCCAGGGTCTTGGTGGCTTTGCGCTCTCTAGCGGCCATGAGTTTCTTCTTTTCCAGCAAGGCGTCGGAGACTCGCACTTTGACTTGGTTCACATACACTGGAGACCCAGATTCGCTGGGCACATCGGGAGCCCGCGAATTAATGGAGGTGACAGAGGACGTGGACCCAGGGGAATCTGTGATCAGTTGGGCTCGGGTCAAGCGCTTGCCGGTCTTGTTGGGCGTCTGTTTCAAAATCCGCGAGCGGGCTTCCACATAGATGCGGCCGTAGAGGGCGATGAGGAGCAGGGTGGGTAAGTAGAAAGCACCCACCGTGGAGTAGACCGTGTAGAGGACGTGGTCGGTGTTCACTAAGCAGTCCAACACTTCTTCCTCGGCTTTGGCCTGACGCCAGAAGAAGGGCGGTAGAGAGATAGAGATGGAGAAGACCCACACCAGAGTGATCATGACAGCCGCCCTTTTGGGAGTCCTTTTAGCTGAATACTCCACGGCATCCGTGATGGCCCAGTAGCGGTCCAGGGCGATGACACAGAGATGCATGATGGAAGCAGTGCAACAGGTGATGTCCGACGACAGCCAGAAGTCGCAGACCACCTGTCCCAGTGTCCACCGGCCCGTAACCGTGTACATAGTGCTGATGGGCATCACCAGGATGGACACTAGCAGGTCGGTGACGGCCAGGGAAGCTATCAGATAGTTAGCCGGGGTGTGCAGCTTCCGGGTCCGATACACCGTGGCGATCACAAAGGCATTGGAAAGCGTGGTGGCCAAGGTGAAGAGCGCCAGCAGCACAACCAGCAGTACTTTCCAGGGTAGGGCAATGGAGTCCTGGTAAATGTAGCTCTCGGAGGCGCTGCAGTTGTGGGAAGGAGCAGCAGAGAGGTTGGCTTGGGGTACCCCGATCTGGGATCCCGCGGGCGGCGGCTGGGCGCACTGAACACTCGGTCCCTCCATGGCTCTTCTGGCCCTAGCTCTGGAGCGCAGCTCTTGGGCATGGAGCGGACGAGGAGGACAGCAGAAAATGGAAGGTTCATAGAGACCACAGTCTGGTCTCGCCTTGAAGTCAGTTCCGTGGGTTCCTCTGTAACTCCTCCGCCCAGGTTCCTAGCTGAAACTAGAGGTCACCCGCGCAGCAGGCAAGCAGGCGGGCGCGTCCTCTGCACTTCCAGTGCGCCTGGCGCTGCGTCTGCGTTTCTGACTGCTCCTCTCCACGCCCTGTCCTAGCCCCGGTACCTGAAGAACTGACCCACCCAGCCCAGCTCTGGTTTTGCTCTCTGGAGAAACAAAGTGGAGAAGGGAGAGGTATTGCTTGAAGATAGGGGCTGGGTCAAGTGGGATCTCTTACCCTCTTGCTCAGGGCTCAGCATCTCCTAACCTGGGCGCTCCTGTATCTGCACACTCCCCCCGCAGGAGTTTTCTAGCAGTAGAGACCAAAGCTTGCAGGCCAGCCAAGAATCTTGGTCTTGCATTCCCGACCCCCGCCCCAAGCTGGGGCACTTTGCTGCGGCGGTTGCAGCCGCCAAGCTGGGTGGGGTGAAGTCTGGGAGCCGCGCTCCGGGGCGCCTTGCGCTGTAGCTGTCCTCCCTCTCTTTTCACGCGCAGACCAGTTGGGCGAGCTGCCCCGTGGAGAAGGGGCGGCAAGAGGGGGGATTCGGGGACTGGAGCTGTGGCTGCTGGCGTGGTGCCGCCGCTGCCACCACCACCTTGGTTCCACCAGCACCGCTGGGAGCCATGCCGCTGGGCGCACGGGTCTGGGGTACTTAGAGCCGAACACTGGGAAGGAGTAGGTGTCTGAGAGAGCTGGAGGGACCCGGCAAGCGCCAGCCAGGGAGAAGCCTGTGAGTGGCAGAGCAGATGGGCTCCTTTTATAGAGTCCGGGTCCAGTCCGCCAGAGCCGTGCAACTCTTGCGGCTCGGCGAGTGCGGACGCCTGCTCCACATCACCTTCGCTTTTTCTCTCTCCCTCCCTCTTTTCTTCCCGCCCCGTTCCCTTCCCGGCCAAACAAGCTCCCGCCCGGTCCTACTGCCCTCTCTCCCCTCTTCCCATCCCCTGTCCCCTCTCCTGACTCTGATACCCGAAATCGCAGTTCTGGCCGAGAATGGGGATAAGGACGTCCTCTTCTCTGTGCGGGCTTTGGAGCTTGTGCGATTTCCGACACTGAACCCTACACCTTCAGATGCTGTTACAGGCTTTGTCCCAGTGTCCCAGTCTAGGTCTCCTCCTAAGCCCCCTTCCCTTCATTCTTGGAGGGCAGTGCTTGATGGAGCAAGCCTGAGTCTCTGACCTCTCTACCATGGAATCTTATCCACTGAGTGCCACACCCAGATTAGAAGGAGGCGCCAATAATATCCCCCTTAGAAGGAAAACAGTCTTTTTATACTTCGGGTTTCACGTTATCCTTAACTCTTGGTACATTAAAAACTAATTTTTCATAGCTAGGTTTAGAAATCCGTGCTTGTCCTTCAATTCTTCTCCTTTAACTTCGTGAGTCAACAGCCGGGGCTAGAAGCTGTCTACAAAAATGTAGAAGTATCACAAACAGAAGCCTACTGCATGTGAAATTAAACCTTCCGCTCCACCCGAATGCTCCAAGCCTCTCAGTAGTTCAATACTCAGGAAAACAGTTCCCCTTGAGCATGTACCTTCCCACAGCACTCCTAAAGGAGGTCATCAGAATTCAAGAAAAAAAAAATGGCTCTGGAGCCATCGCCATTAGCATTATCAGTATACCTTCTCTGCCCTCAGAAAATACATCAAGACCTTAGCCATAGGCAGCAGCAAGCAATAGCAGTACTTAGATCCCATTTACACCGAGCTAATTCCCTGTCCTCAGTTTCTCCTCCAATCTCAACAAAACAAATGTAATGTGGATGTACATCAGAAAGTTTAAAAGAAATCACCAGAAAAGACAATATTTCTTCAGTCCTAAGAAATAAGTGATCCCTACTAGAAATTCCTAGACCCCTTAAATGTTTGGCATGTCCAAGATGTCTAATAAAAACCATATTGTAATTGAATTTATCAGGTTAAATGCAAGCATATTTTAAAGAGAGCCATTCACTCTCTGAGTCAAATATTATGTGATTAATCTATCCAGTTTTAGAGGAAAAATAATTGAGATCCTTTGCAAAAAGGACCTTTTCTTTTACCCCCCCCCCCCTTAGAAATAGAGTCTCACAATGTCATCCAGGCTGGTCTAGAAAGACTGAGCTCAAGAGTTCCTCCTGCCTCAGCTTCTGAAGTAGTTGGGACTACAGATACCCACTGCTGTCCTGGCTAAGAAGAGCTTTTTCTCCAAGGTGACACAGCCTAAACCCAAGTTTCCTTAATTCTTGGCTCTCTAAGCTAGGCAGGTATAAAAACCATAAAGCACCTATTCTATGAAGGATATTATTCTAGGCACTAGGAGTATGGATGCCAATAGGGTAGAGGCAGACCCAGGTTTCCAGCGGCCTGCATTCTAGGAGAGGCTGACCGTAAATACATGAACAAATAAATAATTTATATAATTTCAAATAGAATCAAGCATTATGAAGAAAATAAAACACCCAGGCATTGAGAGTGTACTCCTTTAAAGTGGAAGCTCTCGACAGGGGTTGGGCTGCAGTTCCTGTTCTTGTCCCTTGCCCAGCACTTCTCCAGCATCTCAAGCTTCCTTTACATCAATTTTCAGCGGTCCTCCCCATCCTCACATTCCATCCAAGCACGGCAGGAGCCTTATTTAATTATTTTGCAAACTGCCAGGCTCTCTTAGCGACCTGGGAAGGAAGCAAAACAAGCGCACTGAAACCACTAGGTGGGGGCGTTGGCCAGGATCGAGCGAAAGTGTGTGTGGTTGCGGGCGGGTGTGTGCTAGGAAACTATTTTCCTTCTGTCTAAGGGAACTAGGAAAGACTCGAAAAAATCTTTGGAGGGATGGGACGCGGGTTGCGGGGAGGGTAGAGGGGAATGCTACCAGCTGCGGGCAGCTTTTCCTCTTTTATTTCTGCTTCTAGAGCTTGGGAAGGAGAAAACCACTTGTTCTCCTTAGGGGTTTGCCTTTAGCGATATAAGGACCTGTGGCATTCTCCATCTGCTTCTGAGTCCCAAACCCTGAGCAGATTATGTTACTTCTGGGGGAAGTTTGATTTTAGCCTCTTCTATTAAGAGTTGTACTAACAGTGTCTTGGCAAAGAAGGAATTTTGGCAGCGCTCACTGGAGAATCACATTTCATTAACCTGGCTTCTGAATTTCACTCATTCCTTTAGCGCTTATAAACGTAAAATGTAGGTGTTTGCACATCAGCGTGCTTGCGTGAAACAGAGGACCCTTAAAGGCGTTCATACCTGCATTGTTTCTGCAGCGGACCCGCCCCTGACCACTGTCCTTGAGCCTGATTCACGCGCCCGCTCCGCAGTACCCCGCAGCACCAATGTGAATCTCTCTTCAAGTTTGCAGTAAATTCAGTGGACACAGTCTCAGTAAGAGGGGCCAGGAGGGAAGGAGGCTGAAAAGATCAGCAAATTTAACTGGGTAGGGCTGAGGATGCAGCTCAATGAGGTAGAGTATTAGCCTAGCATATATGAGGTCCTGAGTTCAATTCCCAGTGCCAAAAGAAGAGAGGCCAGGTTGGCGCGCTGGGCGGGGCGGGGCGGGGCGGGAGGGGGGACAATTGAGAATTAAAGTCACCAACCGTGAATTGCAAGCGGGTGGAATTTCAGCAGAAGCTGAGTAAGTGTGGGATAATTGTTGAACTGCAGTGTCAGACAGGAAACCAGATTCCATAGAGACCTACTTGGGGAGGGATTGGAAAAGAATGGTTCCCCTAGGAGTCCTTCCCTATACCAAAGAATGCTATGCTTTGGTCGCATCCGCGGCTGCTGGGAAATTCCAGGCACCAACTAGGAAGTATAAAGCCCCTAACTAGACCTAGGACCTTACTAAGAGAAACCTCCCTTTTCTCCTCCACCTTCACAAAACCACCAGTCACACCCAACAGAACTCAACTGCTGCAGCTCAACTCTACTAAGGATGACAAATGCAACCCTTTGCCCTTCATCCCCTTGAATATTCACTTGCAAAATCTACATGCATTCCTTAAAACAGAATGGGGGAATCTGGAAAGCTACATTTTATTAAGTATTGCTTCATAAATCTATGGTGTTCTTATTTTTGGTGTGTGTGTGTGTGTGTGTGTGTGTTTTAACTCCAACCCAGGGAAATGAGCATCAGGAGACCAGCAGCTCTAAACATAAGTTTCAAATGTGGTGACAGCCTGGTTCTAGTTTCCTTTTGTATTTCCTCCAGTGACTGTGTTTAAAGTTTATTGGTAGCAAGAAAGTACAGGTCTACCCAGTGCCTTGGTTCTTACCATCCTTTGTGTCTTCCTTGCTGAAACTAAGAATGTTCAGACAAAAGACCATATTTGTACATATACATACACAAGCAATTTTGGAAGACAATTCTGAGAGTTTCCAGAATCCTTTTCCATATTCATTAACTTCCATATCCATTAGGCCTTTGAGCTGGTATTTGTGTCATGGTGCTTACATGCTGTCAGCTTTATTAATAATGTTTAAGCTTTAACACACACACACACACACACACATATCTTAAAACTCATTTTTTTGTACTATTAATTGAACCCAGGGGTGCTTAACTTGTGAGCCACATACCCAGCCTTTCTTATTTTTATTTTGAGACAGGATCTCACTAAGTTAGCTAAGGCCTGCTAAGTTGCTGAGCTAGTTTTGAACTTGCACTCCTGCCCAGCTTAAGACTGTCTTAATGCCTATCTCTATAGTAATAGATAACTATTATTATAAACAGACTTTAAACAGAGATCTGCAACATACAGATTATTGCTGGTTCAAAGCTAACTCAACTTTAACTACTTAGCTCACAAAAGATGTATAAATCACACACATCCTGGATGAATACATAGGTCTTAGAAATTTTCTAATTCAAAACTACTGCTAAGTAATATAAGTACTAGTTGTATGAAAGATGGAGTGGGTTTTATCAAATTTTTGCTTTATTATTTTTTCTCTATTTCATATATTTCTGCTCCTACTCTTATTTTTCCTTCCTAGTACACAATTTGAAAATAATTTGACCGTTGTTCTAGCTTCTTTCTGATACAAGTACTTTAAGTTACAAATGTTCATCTGAGTACTGTTTCATCTCAGAGATTCTGATATTTTAAGCTTTTATTATCCCTTGGTTCAAAGGACTTTTTATTTACTTTTCTTGTGCTTTCTTCCATGACCTCTGACATATTTCAAAGTGTGCCATTTAATTTTGAAATAGTTGACATGTGGGCATAGGGTTCTATATATCTTAAGGTGATTGATTTCTAACGTAATACATCATACAGGAAACAGTCTGCATACTTTCAAATTTTAAAAAAGGTAACAGAAATATTTTCTATGTTGATTGATTGTATTGGTTACATACATGTTAAAACTGACCAAATTGCATACTTCCAATATGTATATTTTATCTCAATAAAGCTATGGAAAGAAAAAGAAAGATGGAGTGGTGAATTTTTCTTCTTGGACAAAGAGTGGAATACTGAGAAATCTGCATGGAAAAACTATGCCATTGAATCCATGGAACTTATTTTAAAAAAAGAAAAAAAAAACATGCTACTTTAAGTTGACAGTGTCATTAAGCAGCTTTGTTCATGAAGTTTCTGGTGGTAAAAAATCAAATCAAAGAATTTGATGATAAAGTTGTCCACCAACCTAAGAAAAAATGGAAATAGAAATGCTTTTTTCTACATTGAAAATAAGAATTTTGTCTTTAGTTTCAAACCAGAAAAAAAATTGCATCACTCTGTACAGTTAGTTCTGGTCTTGCAAAGAAAACAAACCAAGCTGTTTTTTTTTTTAATTGCTTCTGTACCTGTAATTCATGAATAATAATCATTATCCTTTATTGAGCACTATGTACTAAGCCATATGCTACGAGTTCCA